GGTGTCACGGACTTTTTTTTAGAACTATTTAAGAGATACATTTTCACTCTACATTACATTCATGTAACTTTTATTGTTTTTGCAGTGCAGGCCAAAATGGCTCACAGATGGGACGTTTTTTTCCGTCTTATGTGACACTTATTGCTATATATTGGCCAATTAACTCAATAACTACATAAATTATTATATATATGTAATTATCATATATGAGCTATATTACTGTTAAGTTTTATTAAAATCCATTCAGTATTTTTTAGGTGAAAGAGTAACAAAGATCCATACAAACGTAAGATTGAAATTAAAAGCGTAAGTGGTTACTATACAACTTTAAAGCGTTGTAGATCCTAAACAATCATATAAAATGAAAAATGGTGTTAGGAACCTAAATATGATTTTTGATTATCTAGACAGTGATACCCCACTCGACATATTTTGTCAACTTTTTTTTTTACTTCGTCACAATATGGCGTTTGCCCATATTAAATTTTGATTACTATTATATCTTTAGTAGCACTCCCATGATTGAGACGAATCGATTGATGTATGAATCATCAAAATCGGTCCAGGCGTTTGGTCTCTAGTGTGCCACAAAGGAACAAACATACATATATAGACTGTTAAACACATAACCCTGTCTGCGCGTCGCGCTTCGCGCTCTTGCATTGCGCAGCCGGGTAAAAACTGTTAAGAGTAAGCAATAACGATAACGATTAAAATAGCATAGAGGCACATAGGCGCTGTAGTGCTATTCTGTAAAAACCTTTTTAACAAAAAAAAACTGTTTGGTCAAACTAATATTTGGTGTCGGTAGTTTTGTTCAAGTTTTTGTTGCGACATGAGAGAGAGAGAGCGCTGCCTCGAGAGAGACATGGGGTGTATTCCGAAATATACATCAGTATACTGGCCAGTGGTAATGACGTCACGAATCCGACGCCACCATATTGTATGCTACCATATTTTTACCGGGAAAACGAATATGACGTATGACCGAGCGTGCGTGAGATGCATTCGAATTTTATTTCTTTTTTATTGAAAGAAAAAAAATGGCATCCGAACAAAAAGAATTCCTTTTAATTGATGAGATGAATAAAAAATCTTCATTATTCGCACTATTTTTAATATTTCGTCGATTTATGACGGCAGAGCACTGGCCAGTATACTGGTAAATATTACGGAAAACACCCAGTGTCTGCTCGGCTATATACTTACAATAAGTTGTTAATTCGTGACGGAAGAATAGCAAACAACATCAATTCTAAATGCGTGGCATGAGCGTTAGACTGACCGGCCATACACGGATAGCTTTAAGCAGTCAGTTTGGCCTTCGTCTTACATTTTAATCAAATAGTGTTAATTTTTCCGCGATGCAAAATAAAAATAAGGAGATGTTTATTAGCGAAAAAAAGCGACCTGGGTCCGATAGCATGAAAATTATAAGTATAAACTTATAATCATCAAACTGATGTCTGTTTTTGTTAAAATTATAAACTGTCATTTTTATTTCCAAGCAATATTCAAGAGTTAAGCATGACTAAATTTAAATCGACCATTAAAAAATCACTAGTTAAGAAAGCATATTATAAAGTGTCTATTACAGACAAAAATGCTTGGGTATGAACTGTTTCAACCATTCCAACGGGTATTTCTATATGATTTAAATTATGAATTATGTGTTGACAATACTATAATTAAATTTGAAAGCTGTATATAAAGTTGATAACTTAAGGAAGATTATCAGACTGTTTAAGAATATTTGATTGACAAAACGGCGTGGTCGTGATTTCTCCTTTGCTTTGTTTATGTAATTGTTTGTGGTGTCCTACAGGTAAATGACCTTAATTTAAGTAAATATGTTGTAGTTAGTATGGGTAGTTATGGGTAGTCATGCTCTCATAATAGTCTCTTCGGCGGTGTCGTGTGCGGCGGGTTGTTACGTTCCCTAAAATATGGTTGAGCGAAGCGATGGCTGGTTCATGCGTCATGCTCGTGAACGGGTGCTGCCAGCGGAGATGAGTCTGCCCTAACTTCCTCAATATTGAAGTTAATGTTTAGTCACACTAAATATAAATAACACTATTTGTATTTATACTGTGTGACACAGCAATCAAAATGCAGGTAAACAATTAATGTATATTTAATAATCATGTAATGAAAAGGGACTTCCTGAATCATCTCTGAAGTCATTTTTCAATTTGACGACTCTGTAAATAATAAAACAGGGAGAAAAAAACAGCCCTTGCTGAGTTTCTTGCCGGTTCTTCTCAGTACAAGGTCTCCCGCCGTAGATTTACGAACCGATGGCGTAGCTTCCAGACATTCATGAGTGCTTGTAACGGCCTAAACTAAATAAATGATTTTGATTATGATTATTTGCATTATATCTTGTGCAAAAAAATCTACTCTTTTCTAGACTAGAAAGTGCCAATTTAGAAAAACTCTCTTTTGAGCCGCGCAAATAAATCCATGGATGGTACAAATCAATGGTACTATAAACACCCGAGGAAATAATAGTTGCGCAGCCGTCTCAACGTTGAATACTAAGCGCACTATGCAGATCGCTTTTTGATTCAGTATCGTAACAAGGCGTACAAAGGCCAAAGATCTCCAATTTCACGTTTATATAGTGGTCCGCAAGCTGTTCATAGTAACCACTAGCAATATATGTTCCTTTTTTGGTCTATAAGGATAACTGTATGAGGCGCCCTAATGATATTCTTATTTACTTTAGATTTAATGTACCACGTAGATTACCCAGAACTCAAATAAAAACTTCTAAATTCTTTGGATCAGTCCATTGATATTTATGCTGTTAGTCTCAATACATTTCGTCAGCACTTGTAATTGACCACCTTGTACTATGTTGATATTATGTAACTTCAGAAATTGGCAGAATTTTGTAAATGTGATAATTTTTTATGTTCTTTTAATGTTACTGGTAATTTTTTACTTTGCATGTGGTATTTAACTTAAATAATGTGTGCTTTTAGCTATTATAGTACTATCGCTGTAATATTTACAATGTATTATTGTAACAATTACTGGTAAACCTAATCTATATATATATATAAATCAATTGCTGTTCGTTAGTCTCTCTAAAACTCGAGAACGGCTGAACGGATTTATCTTATCTTCGTCTTGAAACGTTTGTGGAGGTCTGGGGAAGGTTTAAAAAGTGAAAAAAAATCGAATTCTACACTACAGCTCTACACCGAAGCGAAGCGAGGGCGGGCCACTAATAAATAAATAAATGAATTGGTTTTAAATTTGTTCTATGCTTAATGGTACTCACGCTGAGCACGGCGGCGTGGAGCGGCGTGCGGCGCGCGTGCTGGGCGGCGTTGATGTCGGTAGTGGCGGCGAGGGCGGCGCGCATCACCGCCACGTTGTGCGCGCGCGCTCAGCTCTGAATAACACCGCGGCTACAGTGGGGGCTGGTTCTCACGCTGAGCACGGCGGCGTGGAGCGGCGTGCGGCGCGCGTGCTGGGCGGCGTTGACGTCGGTAGTGGCGGCGAGGGCGGCGCGCATCACCGCCACGTTGTGTGCGCGCGCAGCTCTGAATAACACCGCGGCTACAGTGGGTGCTGGTACTCACGCTGAGCACGGCGGCGTGGAGCGGCGTGCAGCGCGCGTGCTGGGCGGCGTTGATGTCGGTAGTGGCGGCGAGGGCGGCGCGCATCACCGCCACGTTGTGCGCGCGCGCGCAGCTCTGAATAACACCGCGGCTACAGTGGGGGCTGGTTCTCACGCTGAGCACGGCGGCGTGGAGCGGCGTGCGGCGCGCGTGTTGGGCGGCGTTGACGTCGGTAGTGGCGGCGAGGGCGGCGCGCATCACCGCCACGTTGTGTGCGCGCGCAGCTCTGAATAACACCGCGGCTACAGTGGGTGCTGGTACTCACGCTGAGCACGGCGGCGTGGAGCGGCGTGCGGCGCTCGTGCTGGGCGGCGTTGACGTCGGTAGTGGCGGCGAGGGCGGCGCGCATCACCGCCACGTTGTGTGCGCGCGCAGCTCTGAATAACACCGCGGCTACAGTGGGTGCTGGTACTCACGCTGAGCACGGCGGCGTGGAGCGGCGTGCGGCGCGCGTGCTGGGCGGCGTTGACGTCAGCGGTGGCGGCGAGGGCGGCGCGCATCACCGCCACGTTGTGCGCGCGCGCAGCTCTGAATAACACCGCGGCTACAGTGGGGGCTGGTACTCACGCTGAGCACGGCGGCGTGGAGCGGCGTGCGGCGCGCGTGCTGGGCGGCGTGCGGCGCGCGTGCTGGGCGGCGTTGACGTCGGTAGTGGCGGCGAGGGCGGCGCGCATCACCTCCACGTTGTGCGCGCGCGCAGCTCTGAATAACACCGCGGCTACAGTGGGTGCTGGTACTCACGCTGAGCACGGCGGCGTGGAGCGGCGTGCGGCGCTCGTGCTGGGCGGCGTTGACGTCGGTAGTGGCGGCGAGGGCGGCGCGCATCACCGCCACGTTGTGTGCGCGCGCAGCTCTGAATAACACCGCGGCTACAGTGGGTGCTGGTACTCACGCTGAGCACGGCGGCGTGGAGCGGCGTGCGGCGCTCGTGCTGGGCGGCGTTGACGTCGGTAGTGGCGGCGAGGGCGGCGCGCATCACCGCCACGTTGTGTGCGCGCGCAGCTCTGAATAACACCGCGGCTACAGTGGGTGCTGGTACTCACGCTGAGCACGGCGGCGTGGAGCGGCGTGCGGCGCGCGTGCTGGGCGGCGTTGACGTCAGCGGTGGCGGCGAGGGCGGCGCGCATCACCGCCACGTTGTGCGCGCGCGCAGCTCTGAATAACACCGCGGCTACAGTGGGGGCTGGTACTCACGCTGAGCACGGCGGCGTGGAGCGGCGTGCGGCGCGCGTGCTGGGCGGCGTGCGGCGCGCGTGCTGGGCGGCGTTGACGTCGGTAGTGGCGGCGAGGGCGGCGCGCATCACCTCCACGTTGTGCGCGCGCGCAGCTCTGAATAACACCGCGGCTACAGTGGGGGCTGGTACTCACGCTGAGCACGGCGGCGTGGAGCGGCGTGCGGCGCGCGTGCTGGGCGGCGTTGACGTCGGCGGTGGCGGCGAGGGCGGCGCGCATCACCGCCACGTTGTGCGCGCGCGCAGCTCTGAATAACACCGCGCTCGGTGACAGGCAGGATATGTCCTCGGCTGTGGAAAACAAACACAGTAAATATCCAGGCCCACTAGACCGTACCATACCATGACTGCAACCGTACCGACAAATGCTATCACACTAATATTATAAAGGCGAAAGTTTGTGAGTGTGTATGTTTGTTACTTCTTCATGTCTAAACGGCTGGAGCGATTTTAATAAAATTTGGTATGGAGTTAGCTGACGCCCTGGATTAACACAAAGGCCAGGTTTTACTGCGGGAAAATACCCCTAATAAACCGCGGGGCACAGCTAGTAAAATATAATTTCGACTCGGCGTCTCTCGACTGATATGATGATGATGAAGCCTTGTTAGTAAGACTACAGTTTTTTAGCAGATGATTCAGTGCCTTCCTCTTATATGTATTCAATGTTTGTTTATGTATTTAAGAAAATCATGGCCCTGTTATCCAACACATAATTTTAATCAAATGCATTTCGATTCAAGCATAATGATATCCGTACAACTCATTGTATAAGCCCCATTTCTAACCTGATTTGTAACACTTTCATTTAATTTGTAAACAACATAACTGTAGGCACTCAGTGTCTAAAATCAATGGTTTTCTTGGAAATAATTGTAAACATTTATGTATACGAATGTATGTCGCCAGAATAAATAAAATAATACAATGACTTTGATTATATTCGGTTCAAAAAAATTATGACAGCAACAGAAAAAACCATTAATCATTTTATAAAATAAATGCACATTTAAGTTTTTCCTCACCTTCACTACATTGTTAAGTATCACGAGTACGTTACTCCTTGCATTGTCTTTTGCAAGCTGATATAATATTAAATTATTGTATAGCACTGTTGCGTGTCTATCCTAATCTGTGTATTTGCCAATCGCCATTTACTACCGGCACTTCACTTGGCTATTCGTGTTTGTTATTTGTTATCTAGACATCAGCCTATCCTCTTCATTCCTTATTAAGCATGATGAGGACACACTGTTGTCGAGTCTACAAATAGCAAATATGAATAGCCAAGTGAAGTGCCGGCATCACATCTGCTCTTACAACCGCAGCAAAAGATGTTTTTAAACTCAAAAATAGCCTTCCTTGGTAGGTATTTACCGCCTTTTTTCTGAATTAAATAAAAAAGTTCACCTAGGTCATCTGTGTCTTCGCCCTCTGTCGATTCGTGGTCAGAAGGCAGACTGAGGTCGACGGCTCGTTCGGCCGCCAGTTCGGTGCCGATCAGGAGCACTGGACTGTCTGGTTCCGATTTACTCGAACTCTCAGACACTGAAATGTTACAACATCTATACTAAATAAAACGGTTTTAACGGGTTATATGGACTGAATTTATTTATTTATTGACGTTTCGCATCCTTTTCAGGAATGCGTCTTCGGAATAATGATTTCAAATTTCAAATCATCAATCAAATTTACTGTTGAAAATGAAATAAAAAATAACATTATTCCGACGACGACGCATTCCTGAAAAGGATGCGAAACGTCAATAAATAAATAAATTCAGTGCATATAACCCGTTAAAACCGTTTTAGTTAATGAGTGATGTGCGTGAAAACCTAAGAAACATAATTATCTACTATTTTTTTTTTTATGTTATGTTATAGGGGGCATACGAGCAGACGGCTCACCTGATGGTAAATGATCACCGTCACCCATGGACACTTGCAACACCAGAAGTATCACATATGCGATGCCGGCCTTTAAGGAAGGAGTACGCTCTTTTTTTGAAGGTTTTTGGGTCGTATCGATCCGGAAACACTGCTGGCGACAATATATTCCACAGTTTTGTCGTACGTGGTAAAAAATTTCGACAAAAACGCATGTTTGTGGATAGCCACGCATCAAGATGATGGGGATGAAATTTTTGTCGCGATGTACGCTGGCGAAATGCAGCAGCTGGAATCAATCCGAACAATTGTTCAGAACACGCCCCGTGATAAATGCGATAGAAGATGCAGAGCGAAGCTACATCCCTACGCAAAGCCAAGGGATCAAGCTGATCGGAAAGGTCCTGGTCGTCAACTATTCGAGCCGCTCGGCGCTGGATGCGATCCAAAGGGAAAAGCTGGTACTGGGGTGCCACCGCCCAAAGATGAGAGCAGTACTCCATGTGAGGCCGAACCTGTGCCTTATAAAGCTGCAGTCGGCGGGTCGGTGTGAAGTACATTCTCGATCTATTAAGCACACCAAGCTTCTTAGAGGCCAATTTGGCCTTGGCCTCTAAATGATCCCGAAACTGGACGTCGCTCGATATGTCAACGCCAAGAATTCTAATACTAGCTGAGGCAGTTAGAGGAGTGTTCTCAAACAGAGGAGATACGACAAATGGTATTTTTTTTGCGGTGAACGCGCAATCATTTATTCATGGAAAACAAACGGCATGTTAAAACAAAGGATAAAACAAAATGCTGTAATATATTGATAACCCTTACACAGTTTTCACAAGTACAAATCAAACATGATATACTTTATCCAATCTACTCACGAGGCCGTAGATTAATTGAAAACAAGAGAAACACAGAAGTATAAACTAAGCATAAAGCCATACCTACTGGGAAAATGATGATAAATTAAATTATGTTTTATTATTATAATGCCCGCACGGCACTTTGGTATTTGTATTTACTATTTGTTAACTTGACAAGTCTGTCCTTATCATGCTTTATAAGGAATGAAGAAGACAAGACTGTTGTCAAGTTTTAAAGAACAATGGCCAGATTTCTATAAGTACTGGACTTGACTTTTATTTGTGATGTCTCTTAATAAACTATAGTGAGAATGGTTTGTTTTTATGTTGTAAATACTATCCCTTTTGAAAATCTTATATAAATAGCCACGATTTTTTAAAATATCGCCACTTATACTTTTGAGATTAGCATCAACAAGTACCTTTTACCCGACTGCGGCGAAGCCCAAAATGTAGTAGCGAAAAGCGAAGAGGGTAATTGGCGATCTCATAGCCATTTTATTCGATGCCCCATAGAAAAAAAAATAGGCTGAACTAAAAAGTGGTTTTTAGTTCAGTCCTATTTTGGGGCATTTTTCTGGCTGTGCCGGCTTAAGAGTAAGTCGTTAGACGAGACTAGATACCTGCTATCTTTCACTCACTGGCTAATCGAGTCGAAGTAATAATGGTACCCATCATAAGGTAATGAAGGTGGGTATGGGGATAAATGAAAGACAAGTCTTGACAAAAATATTATTTACTTATCAGTCCGTAAATCAATGGCAAGGTCAAAAGAACAGAAGGTAATCCAAAATAGTACAATAATTCACAACAATAATCTTAGCGAAAGCGTTAGCACAGAATGATCACTGTCACTGAGTGTCAGTCAATCGATGGCGCCGATCGATGACATATAACGTTCCGTTATATGCATAAACCGAGCAATTAAACAAAAAGCTCATACTGAATTTGTACTTACTTAATTATTTTTATGATAATAGTTCTTTAAATATCTAATAACACTAGTTAATCAGATGCCTAACTATTAATTGAATTACGGTTAACAAGTATTTAGAAAAAGAAATAATTTATACATAGTCCATGAATATTAAATCATTTCATGTGCGAAATTAATCGTCAATGGGTGCGTTCTGAACATGTTATTCCAAATAATTTCAAGTAAATTACCAAAACACAAAAAAGGTATATCTTTTTAATGTGGGGATTTTGCTTATATTTTCTAAAACCTTTAAAAATAAGGAATTTTTTGATATATATGGCATATTGGGACGTCATCGTTTCTTCATCAGGTACGATTTGGCCATCCTTCTTTGGTGAATTGTGACGTTGTAGGGGGTACGTATTGGGTAAATTCTTGTAGCTATATAAATACACATTATATGTGAGTGTCATAGGCTATATATTAGAACAATAACGTATAGTCTTCACCGTAGTGAAGGGAGGGCGGGCCACTACTTTTAAACAAAAGCACATATTTTCGCACAATATAACTATAGAGATGGAAAATTAATGTATAGATCGATTTGTTTGACGATCACTTAACATTGCAATGGATAGAAGTCCATAGCTAGGTATATAAGAAACCAAGAAATATAACATTAGACATGAAATATATACTACTAAGTGGGTCATGCATATATGTTGGTAAATTGTATGTACATATTGTGTAAATGCGCAGAATCGTTGTGAATGAAAATCCTTTAGAAAGGCCTATGTCCAGCAGTGGACGTCTATCAGCTGATGATGACATAAATAAGATTTTTTTAATAAACAAGTATAATATTCACCGCTAGTGTTGCTATTGACGTCACTTTTCTCGTCACTGATCGTCTCTGGTACAGCAGGCGGGGCGCGAACCCTGAATAAGGAAAAGTTTTTACAACGTGATGATTGGTATATAAACCATAGAGGTATAAGAATAGCGTAGGGGAGATATATACTACTACAAATGGAAATATCCCTCTAATAGAAAGAGAAAGAAGATGAGAGACCGCTAGCTTTTCTCTCTAATCACCTAAACCTAAACCGTAAGCATATTACTATTTTGATGTGATGCCATTGGATGCCATGCGTCACAAGAGAGACAGATAGCTAGCGGTCTCTCATCTTCTTTCTCTTTCTACTAGACGGACACTTTTAGAGCCAACTTCCCCATTCTATTCTTATACCTCTATGATATAGACACGTTATAAGAACGAATGCGTTGTATTGTATCCTGTTTCGGTTATTTTATTGTATCTTTTTAACGCAATTACATGTTTTGATAACAGTTTGCCCACGACGCATAGTAACGTTCTCGAACTCATATTCGGATATCGTATTATCCACTGTATTAACAATACAGATTACAAATTTTAGATATTTTACTCCTACATGCAACACATTTTCATGACTTTTCAACATCATGAGTGAGAGTTGCATATTTTTCAACAGCTAATCCAGCACATAAAAGGTCATTAACATTACCATACATTAACATCTCATTGAGTAGTTATGATCATCCACTTAGTGATTACACCCAGAACAAGAAGCTTTATCAATAGTTCTATTGACTCAGTAGTCGCATATCTAATTTTATTGGTAGTAGTGCGTAGCTGCGTGCCCATTTTCCAACTTGTTTGTAAAATAAATTATCATAGTCAATGCTGTATGAGCTTAGGATTCTTAAACCCCCACAACAATTTTAAAATGTCAAGGTATAATATTTGAAGATTGCTGCAATCCAACTGATTGACAATGACAGTTCCTCGAAGCAATGTCTAATCAGCTGATCGTTGCACTAGGTGAAGTTTTTTGCATTATCAAATCTCTTTTCTTTGTTTATATTGTGTCTTCATAGTATTTTTCACATTTAAAGTAAACGGCCAGTGAAAAATAATACCCAATATGATACAGTGTCGAAATTACGTGAAAAGTGTTAAATTGTTGCTGCCTGAGTAAAATTCTGATCTTGTTCTTCGCAGCCATACGCAATCTTAAAGAGCACTATTACTACACTTAAACCAAATCATGAAGGAGAAAAACAGAGCCACCCTTTTTTATCAATTTCCGCTATTCTAGACAATCGGGAAGACCTTTGTCACAGCAATGGAGTCATTAGACTGATGATGTATGGTTTTATAACCTCCGTGATGGTTTCAAGGTGTCGTCGCCTAATGGAGGTCCTGGGATCCACCCCCAGCTCCACCCCCGGTCCCGCCCACTGTCCCCGCGCTCACTATGTCGCGCACCAACGTTGACGTCACGCGTCGTGTATTATAACCATACGCGTACATTATAGTGTGTACACACCTGCATCTGGCACGTTTTACTGACCACCTGCACACAGTCCGTAATGGTGACTCCGCACCACCCACAGTCCCCGCGCTCACTATGTCACGCACCAACGATGACGTCACGCGTCGTGTATTATAACCACACGCGTACATTATAGTGTTTACACACCTGCGTCTGGCACGCCTCACTGACCACCTGCACACAGTCCGTAATGGTGACCTCGCCCCGCCCCCAGCCCCAACCCCGGTCCCACCCACTGTCCCCGCGCTCACTATGTCGCGCACCAACGATGACGTCACGTGTCGTGTATTATAACCACACGCGTACTGTATACTGTGTACACACCTGCGTCTGGCACGCCTCACTGACCACCTGCACACAGTCCGTAATGGTGACTCAGCCCCGCCCCCAGCCCCGGCCCCGCCCACTGTCCCCGCGCTCACTATGTCGCGCACGAACGATGACGACACGTATTTTGCGCGGATCCATGCTTCTCGTACAGACCTATAAAATTATTCACACATAAAGGAAATTTTATTTTGTATGCCATCTCTTCACTTGGCTTTTCGTATTTACCATTTGTAAACAGTCTGTCTTTGTCCTCTATAGGGAATTAATAGGACAATAGCGTGTTTAATTTACTGCAATATTGAATTGCGATTGCGACATTGAATTTAATAAGTAAACACCAATTTGCTTTAAATACTTCAAACAAATCACACATTTTACGTGCATAAGTACGAGGAGACAATGCTTGAGAAAAGGAACTTAGCTCTACAAAAGATTTTGTGATATTTCATACTAGCTGACCCGGCGTACTTTGCACCGCTTACAATAATTTGGAAGAAATGAAAGCTATCCGTTCGGCAGGAACACAGCTTTTGCCATTACACTAAAAAAAGTTTATATAACAAAAAAAATGTTACCTATTACATACAAACAGTGACTACATAATTATAGTTACTAGCAGACAAACTTGGTATTGTTAAAATAGTTTTGTTGTTATAACAAAACAGTTATGTAAAATTTACAATACTGTTTTGTCAATTCTTACACTTGTTCAGTAATGGTTACAAAATAATTGCTTCAGTATAGCTTCACTATACAGTTACTTGTAAACGAATTATTTTGTTATGTGCAACATAATTTTCTGATGAATTATAGCTGTTTTCTTACTTGCAAAATGTATTTTTCTTGCTTTACGACCGTGTACGTACTAATTACTAACAAGTAAGTACTGGGAGTTAACAAATTTCGATTCTCATTCCTCAGACTTTGATGTCATTGCAAATGAAATCAGAATCCTTTTGATTCTGACTTTGAACCCTGGGCTCAGGAAGTCCAAATGGAAGTTATTAATTTACAGTGCAGTGACATTTTTAAGAACAAATATCATATAATATCATAATTCATCTTTATTGGAATTTTATGAGTCTTCCACTGGTACAATATAATAATTTGCATCAATTTGCTCGTGGGTTGTGTTCTGTTTTTGGTATTACTTACTTGTGTGAGAAAACGTTTTCCAAGATGAAGTACACAAAGAATGTTTATCGATCTAAATTAATCGATGAGCATCTTAAATCTCTTCTAATAAATTGATAGAAGTAAAATTAATCCACAACTAGAAACAATTATCGCTGGAAAATCACAATAACATAAATCGCATTAGTTTTCCTTTTTGTTTTATTAGTGGAATTAATGTCACATTAATTATTGGTTAGTTATTAATATGCTTAAGCTGAGATATTTAAGTTTAGTTTTTGCGTAATCATTTCTGTCGTAAAGTTACCTTTCAAGTTATAAAACCGTGTAATTTATCATTCTGTGTTTTAATTTCATTCTTATCACAGCAATAACAGTAAAACATTGGGTGTCGTGGGCCAGATTGATGATACTAGTCTTACAGCCGGTTTCTGAAACGCATGTCATCGAAAAAATTACGTAACAAGTTGTTAATCTCTATTTAAATGCACTTTGGGTTTCTCAATGAGCCAAGTGACAGTTTGTCAATGATTTGTTGTTGCAAATGTCAAATCTCGAATTAATGGCCGATTGCCGTAGTTTTTGGTTTCCGGAAAGCTTTTTTGTATGTCAACTGCATGTTAACGTTTTGTTGTGTTTTAATAAGTAATTGGTGAAAATTGATCAATTAACAGACTGTCAAAAGAAATTTTACTGATATTTTGGTCAGAGGATTGTTGTAGTGGTAGTAAAAAATGTTGTCAGATTTATCTGTTGACGATATATCCCTATCTAGTGACGAGGAAGATCTGGCACCAACTCGCCAGTTCCGGAAACGAATAAATCCTGTAATTCATTACAATGATGAAGAATTTAAGGATCGCTACAGGATTTCAAAATCTGTTTTCCATCAACTAATGGGAAAACTGACACACCTGGAACTTAAAACGAACAATTATTGTACACTAAAGCCTTCCTAGAATTATGGCTAACCCAACATAAAAAGAATATTTCAATTCAGTTCAGCAGTTCCTGATGTTAACGCGTTCAAACAAACAAACAAACATCTTTATATTGTAGTTTATATCAGATTTACACTATAATTATTTTACTTTTTATTGGCTTTAGAAGTAAATTCCAATTCTTTAATTTTTATTTCTAAATTCTTCAATTTTTTTCCAAGTCACGTTTTTTTTCCACCGTCACTGCATTGGTAGACTTATTTTCTATTATTGCTTTGTACCGACATTGAAATATATATTATCAATATATTTACAAATTTTAAATGCCAAAAGTAGATCGGTTTCTTTGTATAGATTAGAAAGCTTGATTTGAACAACTGATTTGTACCTATTAGGTACTTACTTATTCACTATTGTTAAAAGCTCCCTCTTTTCTCGCTCCGTATAGTTTTTTCGTGACATATTATGTAAAAACTTTACAAATGAAAATAAATTTCAATGTTTTCGGTACACACAATCGCTTCTATTTTTCTGACTTATAAATAAAAGTCACTTATAAGTTGTCAAAAGATAGAGACAAAGCTATGCGTTAGACAGAAACAAAACATGAATGATCGAATGAAAGTGACTGGTTTTAGCTAGGGTGGCCAGACTAATAAATAAATCGTGCCTTAACAGTAGATTCGTTAATTTTTCGGTAAGTATCTTTTCAGAAACCCACAGTTGCTCAACAAATAGTTAATTATGACAGTCTGTCAACTAATTCAATATTTGACATGCGTTTCAGAAACCGGATGTTAAGCTGTCTCGGGGGCGGATTTGTCCCGCGGGCCGTAGTTTGGAGACCCCTGATCTAGTATATCACTAATTTGGAGTGCCAAACAATTAAGCTCATCTTGCTTAAGCGTGTCGTGACGTGAGTTGTTAATTACGGAAGATGGCGGAATATCATAATATTTCTAGCATTTATATTTTTTCGTGACTTTTTGGAAAATATTCTTTTATACAAACCTTGCCCTGACAATAAAGAACACAATAAGAAAAGAATTATCCAATTTGGTTCAGCTTTCGGCAGTGATGCGAATACATACTTTTCGACGATATTTTTTTATATATTATGTAAATAAATTCTCAAAAAGATTCTTACGTTTCACAATCTGGTGTCGCTCGTGTAAGAGTGGTCCCCTCCGTATTTGCTTCATATATTAAATTTACTATTTTGTTTCCGAGTTCGGCCATTACCTGTAAAAATGTAAAAAAATACAGCAATTTGTACAAATTGAATTGATGCAAATTACACAATACACGTATAGCCCTGATATATATAAATGACACCCTTTCATATTGATAAATACAATTCGGAACAAAACTTACCTTTATGATGTCTGGTTCCCAGTCATCCAAAGTAAGAGATCTGACTTTACTGACGTGAACACCTAGAGAGCGATGTATTCCGGAACATTCTGAAACAAACGAAACGTGGAAACTTAACATATTAAACAATAGCGAGTGCCCGCGACTTGGTCTGCGAAACATAAATAACTATAAATCCCTATGTCAACCCCTTTTTGTTTTAGTTATAGAAAAAAGATTGCTGTGCTCCTCCAATTTTTACCCGACTGTTGAGGGTAATATTTTTCTAGCGTATGTTATATATGTCCATTTTTTTGAAAATGGCTGATATATGGCGTAAAAATGAAACATCTTAAAAAAAAAGGTTGTAAAAGACAATTCAGAAAATATAAATAAATAAACCTATTATAAAAAAAATTGAAACTAAAATGTAGAAAATAAATAACAAATATCAAAAATCAAAAACCCGCTTCTGATAAATTAAGCTAAAATAAAAACTAAAAATATAAAAAAAAATCTAGAATACTGTTAAGTAAGGAACAAAGCTACTTATTTTAACAGTTGGGAGCCATTAGATGTCTAGAATAAGTATTTTTTCCCAATAATGGGTCCCGACTGTTAAAGTAGCTTTGTTCCTTTCTTAACAAAATTCTTGGCTTGTTTTTTCTTTTCAGTTTTTGTTTTAACTTAATTTTAAAGCAGGCAGATTATAGATTTTTTTAATTTTTATAATAAGTACAAAGGATCCTTCTTACTCTGAACAAGTTACTAATTTATGTGAGGTTACCAAAAACGTACGCTACATGATCAGCGGGTACACGGGTAGTATTCCCAATTAAAGGATCCCTGGACATTTTTCGAATTCTAAAATCTACGCCAGCAAAATCGGTGCCAAAGTATAGTAAAAAAAACTTATATTTAAAGAAAGATTACTCACCAATACATAGCGTGATGCCAAGGTTTATACTTGCCCATCGTGGATTTGGGCTGCCGCAGTCGCAACAGTTATTGTTTCCAGGGATTGTAAGCAGTTGCTCCCAGATTCTAGAACAAAGTCAGATAACTTAGAGATGACAAATAAATTTAATGTCAATAAAATTCAGATGTTGCATTACTCTATCTATTGTAATAGCAAAGTCACAGCTTAAAAGTTAATTGACGTTTTTTAAGTACGAACTTATATGTATCAGTGGCATGCACAGAACTTTTAGATGGATAGGCAAAAATATCTAGTTTACTATAGTCTTTCTGGTTAACTGGATAAAGATTGCCAAATCATGTAGTCTTGTAGTAGAATAAAATTCTCATTCGTACTTTTAAAAGTGCAATGAAGTATAAATAAATAAAAATAAAGAAGAACAATTTATTATTATATTTCTTGTTGCAGTGTAAAATATTTATTTCATAGTAAAATAATATAATATTGATTACTGGTAATTTGGGCCATTTATTAAACCTAACAATTGTACTGATTTAATCCACAACAAACGCTTGCGTAATACCAACCTGACTTTCCTCATGCGAACGTTGGCAACGCTATTCCTATTGCCGTAAGGTTTGAAATCGTCCAGTACGAGCACAACTGCGAGTCGGGGCTATCTGTTTTCGAGAAACGCTTGCGCAATACCAACCTGACTTTCCTCATGCGAACGTTGGCAACGCTATTCCTATTGCCGTAAAGTTTGGAGTCGTCCGGCACGAGCACTAACTGCGAGTCGGGGTTTTCACGACTCTGCCCCTGCTGTATAGCTGTACGTATGCCGTTTTGCAACGCTGCGATCCAACTATTTAACATTTCTTCGGAATCCGCTTGTAACATGTGACTTCTAGAAAAAACAAAATGTTGACACTACATTGCGACCAAGATCAAATGACATTGACAATGATCAATGGCAATTAAATGACATTGAGAGGAGGACGCTGCTGGTGAATAAGTGATGTTAAGAGGATTACTAACTACATAAAACAAACAAAGTACGTCAAATCTCGTCAATAAAGGTAACATTTCAATTTTTAATTTTTAACTCGAAAAGAGTTATAGGAAAATTTTTAGGCTTATTTACACCTTCCTCTGTAAATAAAAAGCTTATTTTATACCTTTCCTAAATTATTTCCGATTTCGGCCATGCGCTTCAAGATCTTGGTTGCAATGTACGATCATCAATCAATGAAGACAGTTTTATCAACACGAGCCTATTTATATCGCCAACTAGCGGCCGCCCGCGACTTCGTCTACGTTGACTTTAGTTTGTTGAGAATCCCTAAGGGACCTAACATTTTTCGGGATAAAAGTATCCTGTCTCTATAGAGGGCATCTATATACGTACCAAATATTTAGGAAGAAAAGCGGTGAGAAAAATGTTTGTCACAAAATCACTCATTGTTTTGTAACTGCAGATCTATCTAACAGACCTCACTGTGGTGAAGCGGTATGTGCACCAAATTTCGACCTACTCAGAGGTCCTGGGTTCAAACCCAGGCGAAGAAAATGTTTGAATACGAGCATTCGTCCTGCGTCAGAAATCCTAGAAAAACATAGGTACTTATCTATGACATCATTATGTATATTGTATTTCTATCCGATGCTCTCTATCCCTTAAAACAAGCCTTGTTTATTTATAATTTCTATAATAATATACTACTTATGATATATGATATTATTACATGTATTTCTATTAGAGATGGGCCGACTAGTCGTCGGCGACTATTCGGCAAAACATGCCGATTCTAATCGGCACATACAATGAAATAAAACTCAAAACTTATGCTTGTTTAAAATGTTAGAACAGTAAATAAATATTTCCAACACTCACACCAATTAGTCTAGCCCCAAAGTAAGCACTGTAAGGCTTGTGTTATGGGATACTAGGGTAACGGATAGAATACATATACTGTACATATATAAGTATATTTTTATAAAGAAATACATATTAAACATCCATGACTAGAGTACAAATGCTCGTATTCATCACATAAACATCTGCCCCCAGAACCCGGGACCTCTCGAGTCAGCGACACCATGAAACCCGGCGTACAAACCACTCGGCCACGGAGGTCGTCATAACAGTACATACTCTAGTGTACTGACAGATTCCTAAGTTCCTAATTTTTATTACGTTACCTTATTTTTTTTTTAATATTTTAAGACTGTAGGTAACTTTAAATACTTGAGTATGTAGTGTTATGACGACCTCCGTGGCCGAGTGGTTTGTACGCCGTTTGAATTACTGAATTCAGATAACACAATGAATATCGAACATAACAAAATAGCAATGAGAAGTAAGTATGTATTAATTGAGTAAAATCTTAAGTGCTAGCGAGTCTTAAAGAAGTTCATAGGTAAATTTTTGTTTTTCTTAGAGGCAAATTGTGATGTTGGAACGTGAATATTTCGGCTTGATTTGGCTTCTAAACGGCTGAAGCGATTTTAATGGGGGACTCGTATCATGCGTGAGCAAGCCGAGTAGTGACGAAATATTCCGACCACCTTCCTAAGATAGGTATTAGAATGATCGGCATTGCAGAATAGTTGGCAATTCGAAAACCGATTAGTCGGTACTATACCATCTCTGATTTCCATCCGTTACCCTAGTATCCCTTGTAACGAGCCTTCTTACTTTGGGAATAGGCTAATAGATATAACTTACCTTAAGGTATTTTATTGATTGTTTTAAATTTATTATGTATTAGTCTGTATTGCCTTTTGTTGGCAGTGTGATATCATCAGATTCAGGATTTCCGACATCAAGGCACAGTCCTGTTGTCCATATTCTTAACTTTAACAGATAAGCTAAATCATAAAAAATAACTTACTTAGAAGGAGATAGAACTTCAAAACAGAATCTTCTTTCACCGTCAAGGACAAGTTTGACAGTGCAGAGCCGCAGGTCTTCTTCCATCACGGTAACATTTAATTCGCCAGTTCTTTTTCTGCAACAATAGGAATTCAGTATGTTCACCTATTAGTTAAAAAAAAAAAATATCACGCTAATATTATACAGGCGAAAGTTTGTGGTTTGTAGGTATGTTTGTTACTTCTTCACTTCTAAACGGCTGGAGCGATTTTAATAAAATTTGGTATGGAGTTAGCTGACACTCTGAATTAACACATAGGCTACGTTTTACTGCGGGAAAATATCGCTAATAAACCGCGTTAACACCACGGGGCACAGCTAGTTGTGTCATTAATATCCCTAATAAACCGCGGGGAACACCACGGGGCACAGGTAGTTGTGTCATAAAGTCAATTTAAACAAAAAGTGGTTCTCTAACCTTAATTCAATGACTTGTAAACAATGCGAACAAATTATGTAAAAAGGCCGTGACGCCACTATCAATAATCGGGCTTCAGTAACCTACATTACTTGGCCTTCAAAAGTACGATCTTTGTTCGGATGAAAATTTATTTTTTATTCAACAAAATTGAACTGTTACGATAAAAGGAGTTTTTTTTTTTCAAACAAAGAGAAGCAAATTGTCCTATCCACCTGATGTCAAGTGTAAGTAGAATTAATTCGTCAGAATCGGGCACCTAAAATAAATAAATAAGTGTGCCGCTTCCACCATCATCACCTTGACGACCTCAATCAATAATTCCCAAACCCATGTAGTCCCGGAACATAATCACCAATAGATAGAAACATATCCGCTAAAATAAAGTGACTTACAGCGGTCATCTGTTACACATAATCATGAATGCAAATGATACACCACTTGATGTTAAGTGGTAGTAGGAGGCGAAGATAGCTGGTGCAGCAGTTTTGAACTACCTTCCTGCCTGCTTGTCTGCACTTGCGAATAGTACAACAAAGAAATGAGTCACCAAAATCACTTTGTTCGCGTAGGTATAAGAAGTTACTTCCACAGATTAGCGATTAAATGTATACAAAAATTAGTGAAAAAAGTTATGAATTTCCTGTACCCTTAGTACGAGTTTGAGCTCTCGAAAACTGTCATAGTTTTCGTAATTGTAAAACTGGTACTAAGGGTACTGCTCCTTACGCTATACGTACCTGTAAACAAGTCTGTTGTCATACAAATAGAACCATCTGCGGTTCCATGTCTTAAACGCGTTCGAGGTTCTTTTGAACAGGTATCCCTGCATACGAGGCAAGTTCTTTATACAAGGTGTGCTGAGCAAACCCTCCTTGCAATCACCCTCCGCTTCCCCAGTCTTACAACTCGGCAGTACCGTGTCTTTGCTATTGACAATGGTGTGACGATTCTCCATCTCTTTGTCCAGTATCTTTGTATCGTTACGCATCGTTGAAACCTGAAATCCGTTCGTTAGTCAAACGAAAATGATCAATTGAGTATTGAACATTATTTTTATAACTATTATTATGACATGTATATATATCTAGTTTATGAATAAAGTTGGTTTGATTGGCCAATTTAAAATCTAATGAAACAAGTTATAAAATGGTCAAATTGAGCTTGATTGAATTGAAAATAAAGACACCACCCAGTATCAAGAGTGATTATATCCGTAGTCCATTGTAAAAACATAGAAGCTAGAATAAACATATTGAACGCATATTGGTTTTTCTGTTTCGCTTCCTCATGTAGCACGAATGAATTGTCCCTAAAACAGCAGGAATAATTTTGTCTAAACAACTTTTACAAGTTTTTTTTTGTTTAATGTACTTTTATTATTTGCTCTGTCTTAGCAATTGTTATGTGATGAAAATATTTTATATATAAATGATAATATATATAGATTGTTTTATCATATGTTCACAGTTTTAAATAGTGCGCGGTTTGGTGGGTGCAGCTGATTTGCGACGCTACAGTACCAAAACACAATTATATAATTGAATATACAGTAAATAATCAACTAATTGCACAACTTAGAAATTGATTTTGATCATATAAGGTACACATTTTTTTCGAAGCTTTCTAAAGGTATTGGAAGTGATAAAGAATAGCTTACTTCTTCTGCTGTGGCCTTGAGGAAAGGATCCAAATCTTCAGTCAAATCTGCACCTTGGTGGTAGTATGTGCAGCATGCTTGCAGGTATGATAAAAACTGGAATGAAACGTTTTTTTTATATATTGATTTTAATACTGAATAACTTATTTAGGATCATATCAAAACGTTAACTCATCAATTTTTAGTTTTTCATTGTAATGTTATGATGAGATAGCAATTACAAATGTAAATTTATTTATGTTTTTATTTATTTTTAAGCATTTAACTGCTAGATGTTTAAATCTAAAATAGAGTAAACTTTTCTTTAGATTTAAACATCTAGCAGTTAAATGCTTAAAAATAAATAAAAACATAACTATAATTGCTATTTCTTCTTTCAAATGTTTAATACTTGAAAAAGTATTCATTTGACATTGTGGGTTACCTACAATGCGAAGAGATGGCGCTGCCTTGCAGCTTAAGGCTAGGAAAATTTCGACGCGGCGAATAGGGCCGTGGTAGCATAATGGTCAGTGCATTCGCCCGGATTGCGAAGGGTGCGGGTTCGAGTCCCGTCCGCTGCCTGGTCGGCGTGGTTTTTTTTTCTAGTAAATTTATTTTCTAGATATTGTCTTCAACTATTGCACCTTATACGCATTTAAAATCTATGTAAAATACTTGCACAGATCCTACTAATATTATAAGTGTGAATGTTTGTATGTTTGTTACTCAATCATGCAAAAACTACCGAATGGATTTGGATGAAATTTGTTACCGATTTTTTTTTTGCAATTATGACCTGGATTGAGATATAGTATACCTTTTATCCCGGAAAAGGTTCCTGTGGGATTACCATAGAACTAAAGTAAACGCGGACATAGTCGCGGGCGGGAGTTTCGTGGCGCCAGGTTTCAATGTTCGCCTACTCAGAGGTTCCGGGTCCAAAACCCGGTGGGGCAAATGTTAGTATAATGAATACAAGCATTTGTACATAAGGGCCCATTGTTTGATATATACTTAAATGTGACTTTTAGTCAAAGTCATGTCAAATACATAGTAAAATGTGTAAAATATTGACAAGCGGTTATTTTTTTTTCTAGTATTTTAACTATAGTCAAATTAAACTATGTAGCAAACGACGTGGCCAAATCTTATTATCCATAGTCTCACGAAACTTTATTTATTTATTGACGTTTCTAATTTTATTTAATGAGTGATGTGCGTGAAAACCTAAGAAACAAATATCCATAGTCTCATTTAACTATGTATCAAACAATGCGGCCTAAGTCATAGATGTTTATTCAAATATTTCTAGATAATAGGGGTGATGACGGGGTACAGTAAACGAAATTCTATTTAGGCCGTCAGTTAGATGATCAAAAAATAATGGACACGTATTTTTTCTTTGGGCAATCAACCAAAAAATTACAAAGTTATAGCGCGTCAAACTTTGGGTGTAGGGGCTCGTGATGTCACTTTTTAGTGAATTTTAATAATATATTTTAATAAAACTTACCGTGCTTACTTTTGGGCGAGGCTAATTGGTGTAAGTATTAGAAATATTTATTTATATAAATTTACAATACCCTATGTATTAAGTAAACATTTGCTACCCCACTACTATTGCTACACAAAACTTTCTATTGACAAGACGTCTGTCGTAACAATATACTTATCCATACTAATATTATATATGCTGAAGTATATCTATCTGTCTCTTATCTCTTCGCGTTTAAGCCGCTGAACCAATTTAAATGAAATTTGATATTGAGATAGCATAAGTCCAGGGAAAGGATATAAGATAGTTTTAATTCCATACAAGTCATCCTTTAGGGGGATATTTTTTATTATTTTAAGCATGTAACTGCTAGATGTTTAAATTTAAAACCTTTAGGGGGTTAAAAAGAGGGGTAGAAGTTTGTATGGGTAACCAATTTTTCCACGTAGACGAAGTCGCGGGCACCCCCTGTTCACCTTTTTATTTTTAAGTGTATGTGATTATTACTATTTCTCAAAAGAGTTTTAAAAAAAAAGCACCCATCGAGGTTCTTGTCTCGCGACATTTTGGTAAGGTAAATAACTTTTCCGAATATATCACGTTAATATCAGTACAATTAATAATCGAAATACGACAAACAATGTTGAAACTTTGAGATAAATTTTAATGAAAACAGTCACATTAAAAATCCTACTACTACTACGTCACTACATACGAGTAAATATCTACCAAATGACAAACCAAAATAAATTCAAATCGCGTGAGTCCGCCAGCTAATGAAAGTGAATCACATCCGGTAACGGGTACCTACAGATAATATATTCAAAAGCGAAATTTGCACGTCTTTCAAAAAAATGTTTATGGGTCGCCAGACGACCGTATTTACCGATACCGACGCAAGTGGTACTTTCAAAGGTGAGAGCACTATCTTTTTAAGATTTGACCTACATTTATTCGTTAATTCAAGGGTTGCAACATTTATAAAATAAAGTATCTGTAAAATAATACATAGTTCTGTCTGTTTGTTGGTAATCAAATTTGTTACTTTGACCCAAATCGATTGAAGGTCCTGAAATTTTGCACACCGAACGTCGAATAACGATGCAATGTTATTGTAACATGGAACGTCTCTCAGGATGTAGCTAGAAGGTGGCTAAGTGCGCACTTTTAGAAATCTAAGCTATCACATCAAGTTAGTTTAGATTTGATAACTATAAGAAAGTTAAAAAAAAACGGAATATCATTATTTTTAACGTTTTGGTTCTTTTTTTCGTAGCATATAGCAACGAATAAAAGCAGTTTTTTTTAATTTATCAATTCTATACCATAATATTATTAAGTTGTATTTTCTAAAGTGCATAGTTAAATAATAATAATAATAACGTAAAACATAATTATTTTGACAATAAAGTTTACGACACATAAGAAAAATATTATAACAGCCCGAAACTCGAAAGTTTGAAAATGTAAAAAGGATATTACATTCTCAACACGAAGGAATTTATAATACATGCTACTCCCTAACAACGCATATTACCTATATTAGATAATCAACATGAAGTTCCGTCACAAGAAATCTATGTCAACCAACAATACAGGAATTCTAATTTTGTAGACAGATCGATCATTAAAAGTTATTCCAGCTTTTACAGATGACCCATGTTCGTCGACACCAGAAAGAGTTTATCTCTCACGATGTTTATCTACATTACTAGGATAGTGTTAGTATGCACATAATTAAAGTAACAATTGACAAACTAACGTGCAATGACGTTCACTATTAATAAATATGCAGCATGTAATTGTGCAATTACCTGTATTATGTCGAGTGCAGTGAGATAATGAGCAATCACAAACGTTTTCCACGATCATCGAATCAATCGACTATAAACACAGTTATTTTTGAGAAAAAAATACCACCTCTTGTGCAACACAATACATAACTGTCGCGAAGACGGCCAGATGCCCGATCACAACAGAACACAGACTAAGACTAGAATTAGTTACACCTGCTATCGTTTCGCTTTTGAAATCTGAAGGCATTACTACATTGGGCGTTTCGGTTCTAATGAATGACTAATAAATATTATACTATTGTATAGATAAGATCGCCTTACGCGGAAGAAGGACGCGTCGGCTTTTTAAATACGTATTACTTAGATAATTATTTTGTAACGATGATAATGTTCCTACCATATCTGATATGATAATACACAAACACAATACCTGAAATTCCTGTGTATATATTTTTTAGTATGGAATCACTCCACCCATAGATTAGAAATTGTAATAAATTTGACGACCTTCGGGGCCGAGTGGTTTGTACGCCGGGTTTCATGGTGTCGCCGACTAGAGAGGTCCCGGGTTCGAATCCCGGTGGGGGCAGATGTTTGTGTTGAATACGAGCATTTGTACCCTAGTCATGGATATTTAATATGGATTTGACGACCTCAGTGGTCGAGTGGTTTGTATGCCGGGTTTCATGGTGTCGCCGACTCGAGAGGTCCCGGGTTCGAATCCCGGTGGGGGCAGATGTTTGTGTGATGAATACGAGCATGTGTACTCCAGTCATGGATGTTTAATATGTATTTCTATATACTTAAATATGTACTGTATATGTATACTATCCGTTACCCTAGTATCCCATAACACAAGCTTTACAGTGCTTACTTTGGGGCTAGGCTAATTGGTGTGAGTGTTGGAAATATTTATTTATTTATTTCTACATAAATATACTTATATATGTACTGTATATGTATTCTATTCGTTACCCTAGTATCCCATAACACAAGCCTTACAATGCTTGCTTTGTAGCTAGGCTAATTGGTGTGAGTGTTGGAAATATTTATTTATTATATAAAAAAAATAAAAGAATAAGTAAGTAAGTACTAAATAGGCACACAACCCATCAATTAGTGGGTTAAGAAACAAGAACAAGTTAATAAGGAATGTATTGTTGAGATATTTCTCAACTTTTAAACATTCATGGTAACTAACATTATAGTAAAGCTCAAAACAAGGTACATGGTAACAATCCCGTAAATAACTTATATTACTACAAATTTCTCAAGTTTCAGTTAAGTACATACAAGCGTGACTTCTACTGTACAATGATCTTAATATTTTTGATAACATAATAACTTTAACCGGCTTAGTGTGAGTTCGACTTGGTGCAAGAATGGTTCGGTATCCGTACCATTGTGCAATATTTAACATATACACAAGTCAGCTCGCTGACTTATGGACAGACCGATGGATAAAACGGAAAAAGATGGATTTATAAAGTTCCAAACCTTAATAACAGATATGTACCATACTTAACACTGAACGCATTAAACTTGAAGAAGGAAACTAGAATACCATCGTCCACACAGATGATGAAAATATATTAGAAGAATACATTTAAGAATTTCATTCATAAAAAGCATAGAGCTGGAGACGATTATAGGTTACCTTGGTCGTGAAAATAAAACTTGAAGAGTCTACCTCTCTAGTCTAGTTTGCAAGTGCGAATCTGACTCGCGCACCCAGAGTTCCGGACATATTTGTAGCTACGCAACATAAACGGGTGTATCTTTTTTTACTTTAATTTAGATGTGTGATTTTATTCACAGTCATAAGGGCCCGTAGAACTGAGAATATAGTTTACGCGTACCCCAAATAAAGGGTCTTGACAGACAGGAAACACGGCCACACCATCAACAAAGTGATCCTATAAGGGTTACGTTTTCCCTTTTGCTGTACGGAACCCTAAAAATTAAAAATATTAAAAAAAAATATAATAAGTTAATATTATATTTTATAAGGTTTTTAGTTTTAGGTTCATTGTTCCTGTACATATTTTTTTTTAATCCATAAGTTTGTATGATTTAAGTTATTATTAATTGTATACTATTTTTAGCCAACTCTATTCAGAAGATGTAAAGTGTACATTATTTACAAATAAGTTAATTAAAAATACATATAAAGATATGAATACTACTTACAGTTGCGAGAATTTCATGACGTTTTCGAGCCTGTAGCATTGTGATCTTATGAACATGGTCCAATGCTGTGTGTCTGAAGCATGATCGTGTGGCAAGTAAGAGATTCACTACCTCCTCCACATCCATGGATTTATGACGCGATACCTGTACATAATAAAACCAAATACAATAATATCAAAATGGTGATGCTTGTTTGCCCGCCTGATTGTAAATGGGTCGTAACCATCCACCCCGTGTGCTCGCCCCGTTAACGGGACCGTTGCCTTGGGAAAAATCTTCCATCGAACCCAGTAGCCCCCACCCCGTCGTTAACGCGGTGGATGGCACTAAACAAGTATCATATACACCGGCGTTTTTTTTAATGGGGCGGTTAGAATAGAATAAGTGTCATAGTTAGATTAAAACAAAAAGAGAAGATTCGGTACGCTCATACTAGAAAATCAAATATCAAATAAAATATGATCCGACTTAACTACTCCAACTCTCACACACACGCACACGTCTGTATAAACATTCAATCGAGCGAGCGAGACAGAACTGTACGCTTCAACGCTTCCGAGTCTGTACAGACGCCTGAGCTGTATTGTTGTCCTTTTCTTGATAACAAAATGGCGATTACATACAAAACATTCACGACAAACTGTGATCTTTGAGAAAAAAATGTTTTTACAGTTTACGAATGAAACTTTATACCACAGAATATACGCAATATTGTTATATTGAGTGCACATGCAGCGTGTTTGAATGTCCAATTGTGACTAAAGCGAATTATGGTCATTCACCCCAGTTTAAGCAGATCACTTTTGAGCCGCGAATGACGTATCTTCCCTTAAGTTTTAATCTAAGGTATTATAATGGCTTCTGCTAACCGCTCCGTTAAGAGTTGTATTGGTTCGCCCCGGTTGGGGCAACCAGGGTCGATAGAGCATGTCTTCCCAACAGTCCCGTTAACGCGGCGGGATGACCGGGATGGATGGTACCGACAAATGGTAAACGGCCACCATAGCCTGTAGACGCTTCCGATACATAAAGTAAAAATCATAAATACAAAATATAATTAAAACAAATAATAATACATAAAAACGTAAAATATACCCTGTTAACGTTGATGTAGTCCAAAGCATCGACTTAACAAGTGGCATTCAATGACCATTTATTTAACAAAAAAAAAACCTAACCTAACCCGATCCATTCCCTACTCCAGAGGGCCCTGGAACATCGCCAAAAGGTAGTTTTATTTTAGTGTGGTATTCTGTAAGGTGGAGGGTGTTTCTCTAAATGGGCTCAACAATTCGAGCAGAAAATCCCATTACAGAAAAGGTGAATAAGTTTGTATATCTACTGCTTTATTGATGATTCCACGGGGTTTAATCACTGAGCAGCGAAGTCCCGCGCGCATATTTAAGACCAGTTTCAGACTAGCTTTTTATAAACTCGTTTTTGGAAGCGCATGTAGGTGCACATAGAAGCACCTTTTGACAAGAAATGGAAAAAGTCTACATTTCCTTCAAGCTACAAAAAAACTAACATAAAAGCAATTCCAATAATACTACTACTATTATATCAAATTTAGAAAATAATATTTGAATTAAAAATTATCTTACCTGAGAATTCCTATTTAAAGCAATGTCCAGATCATTTGAGATTTTTTCAAAATGATGTTTACTTTCTTTGACACCTTTGATGTCTCTGAAAAACACTTTTCATGAATATTCATTGCAGCAGAGGTTTTTATACTCTGGCTAACCTTGTTAACCCATTATAATATTAATGTATATTAATTTTAAGCATATAACTGCTAGATGACTGAATCAAAACAAAATTCTACTCATTGCAGGTTTGGGTCCAGATCGGATGGGGACTGTGTTCCGTCTGGACTGAGTGACATTTTTTCTAGTAAAATTTTATTTAGATTTGAACTTGATAATATTGTTTATTATTAATTTACCTTTTTTAATTTACCAAGACCTCATCCAATACCCAATTAAAAAAAACACTATGTTAAGTTTTAGTCTTAACAAATAAAATACTGTTATAGGTATAATACTACTTTAACTTGCTTAACAAGTTTGAAAAATATAAATAAATGGATGTGTTTAATTTCTTCTACAATTTTTAGTCTGCAAAGCAGCTCCACTTCTTCACATTTGCTATATACAAATCTAAAGAAATTTTACTAGAAAAAATATAAGATTTATCTCCCTGGCACTGGTACCTAGACAGCAGAAATTTCTTCTAGTTAGAGATTTTTTAGAATTCTTAATCCAGCATGTTATGCACAAAATAAAAAAAAATAAGAAGAAAGATAAGCTTGTAAGTCTAAGCAATTGTTGTTTATTAGCAAAATGGATACAAAGATAATACTAATATTCTATTACATATTAGTTCATTACTAAAACTTACACTTTAATGAAAGCTGTGAGATTCTTAAGTATAGTTCGGGAAGCCTGGTCAAGTAAAATAGAGTGAAATTTGTTCATTTCCTGCAGTGCATGGATCATCCGATTCATAGTGGCCATGACTGTAGGGTCTTCTGAGAAACTTCCACTTAGATCCCATAAAGCATTTGTAAAAATACTGCAAGATAAAAATAAAATTTTACAAAGCTGGTGTATATTATGCTAATATTTTGTTATTGTTCTATCTTCCACGGCCAATTTACAAGATTATTCTAATTATACTTATCGGGTTTCTAGTAGGTGTCTAATTATAAAGTGAATAGTAAGTACAGTTATTGTCATTTGATCCTGAGAGATATTGATAATACTAATTAGTTTACCTACAATGAGATTGTAGATTTAATAATAAATGGCCTTCTTGAACATTAAAATCACTACATCAAGAAATAAAAGAACAACATATGTTTCATTAGAACTTGAAGTTTTTACAAGCATCAGTAATAATATCACAATACCAGTACAATTCTTACCCTCTATGAGTCATATAAATCTTCCCTGACTCGATCATAACAGTGCAGGCCTTCAAAACCTTATCTAGTTTCTGCTCCAGACTGTCAATACTAGCCTCTTCAGTCTCCTGTTGTTCCCTGCGCCAGGCAATATAGATGAAATCAATCAAATCGTAGTACGCTATTTTTATGAAATAACACAACAAATATCATTACTTTCTATAAATGACTTGCGTTGAAAATTATTACCTAAATTTAGGGGAGTCTCTAAGACATTCATCGAAATCTATTATTGGCTTCATATTTAATTTAGAAATTGCGCTCTCTTAATAGAAACAAACAACGAAAACAAAATTTTACAACATTTTGAATAGTAATAGGATATTAAATATTATTCCAATGATTCCATATAAATCTTGTCGCCCGTCGAAAACGAATTGACATAAATAATGACACTGACAGTGACGTGGACATCTTGGTTTCTTTTTTTTTAATTCTATTCTTCACTATTGGGAAAGGCAAAGGCAAAGCCAAGTAGCCATCATCTTATTTGTGAGAATCGAAGAAATCGCGCCAAAACCTTTGCTTTCTTTTTAGTAATATTCTCCCTTTATGGGAAATCAAAAGAAACTGAGTCCATACAGTGTTATCTTTAAAAAAATTCCCATTTTTGCGACATAAATAGGATGTGACCATGATGTGACGCACTTTGATGTTTTAGGGTTAAAACATACAAAAGCCGGAGGAGTCGGCGGGGTTTTTTGTATGAAAGACTACACATACAAACCCTGAGCGGTGGTTTGGCGGCGCAGCGCGATTCGGTGCGGAAGCGTGCTGCTTAGTGATGTTAGGATTCGAGTACTTACGGAATTTGAATCCTAAATCGAATACTTTAATTACGGAAATGAAAAAAATACGGACATAACATCAACCTAAAATGATGTGAAGCATGCAAGGTCCTAAATTTCGTTTGTTGTACACTATCTGCCCTCACACAAATGCACCAGGTCGAACAAACCGCTGCCATTCGCTGATGCCAGATTGGGAGGATTCCCCCCTTTGGGAGGGTTACTTATAATGCGAAGAGAGTGCGCTGCCTTGCAGCTTAAGAAAGGCTAGAAAGAATTGGATACGACCGTCAGGGCCGCGGTAGCATAAATTGATCAGTGCATTCGCCCGGATAGCGAATGGTGCGGGTTCGAGTCCCGTCTGCTGCCAGGTCCACGTGATTTTTTTTATAGTAATTTACAATACATTTCTTCCTCACCCAGTATTTCTTTTTTTGCGGTAACACCATAGAAAAAGTCAAGGCCCTGCCTACCGATCTTCTGATTTTCTGATAACACTGGGACCATCATCAACGCGTGTGTTTAGCTCAACATACCCCCTAAGGCATTGTCCTAATACAACGCGATAACGCGATCATCGCGCGCTTAAACGATGCGATCATCGCGTGATCGCGAACTGGGTGTCCTAATAGGCATTGTCCTAATACAACGCGATAACGCGATCATCGCGCGTTTAAACGACGCGACCATCGCGTGATCGCGAACTGGGTGTCCTAATAGAACGCGAATACGGAACGGGTTAGCCCTGCCCCTCTCCCCGCTTCCTATCGACGCGACGCGATCATCGCGCGAACTTCAGTTAGGACACCTATTCATCATTAATAGGTTTGATTGCGCGTTCGCGCGAACTTGGTTCGCGCGAATAGATTTTTAAACATTTTAGTCGCGCGAATGCATCGCGCGATCGCCTATTAGGACACCTATTCTAGATCAATATGTTTGATCGTCGACTCGTACGATGATCGCATCGCTCATTCGCGTTGTATTAGGACAATGCCATAGAACGCGAATACGGAACGGGTTAGCCCTGCCCCTCTCCCCGCTTCCTATCGACGCGACGCGATCATCGCGCGATGTTCAGTTAGGACACCTATTCATCATTAATAGGTTTGATTGCGCGTTCGCGTGAACTAAGTTCGCGCGAATAGATTTTAAACATTTTAGTCACGCGAATGCATCGCGCGATCGCCTATTAGGACACCTATTCTAGATCAATATGTTTGATCGTCGAATCGTACGATGATCGCATCGCTCATTCGCGTTATCGCGTTGTATTAGGACAATGCCGAACACTGAATAGCAGCCATGTGTGTAGAGACAAGCCGATATTGCCCCGACCGCCGCGCCGTGCACCCTAGATTGTCCCTGCGGCAGGCATGTCAGTAGGCACTTTAAGGTAACGGAGAGAATACATTATACTGATACAAATATAAGTATATTTATACACAAATACATATAAAAGATCCATGACTGGAGTACAAATGCTCGTATTCATCACTCCAACATCTGCCCCCACCGGGATTCGAAACCTCGAGGGACTCTCGAGTAGAAGACACCTTAGACCAAGCGTACATACCACTCGGCCACGGAGGTCGTCATTAAGCCAGTGAATTTCACAAATCGTTTCATAAAGATCTATAAACGTTTAAAGATAATATGTTTTTAGATAATTATGTAAATTGAATGTAGTAGCTTCATGCACAACACAAATACAGACTTTTTGGAAAATAAAAAAAAACATGTATTTACAACTGTTTTTTAATAATATTTTATGGTCATACATGCTACATGTACAATTCAAAATCAATTCGGTTGGAGTTATAGAACTGGCTGTCTTCACCATGCTTTCTCACCCAAACGCCAGTTTTAAAATATCCCTCTTCAACCCATTTTTGCATTTGCTCTGTGGAATGAGGACCTATAATTTCAGCATCATTATTTTGACTCCATTTAAACTCCCATTTAACAACTTCTGACTCTTCATTTTCATCCTTATAATCTGATACAGAAGTATCATTTTCAGATTTAGTTTTGTCAAGAGTTTGTTTTTCTTTTTGATCAAAATCATCTGCATACATATCTAAATCTGCGCCCTCATTTTTATTTTTGTTTTTGGCTATGATAGAAGATATTTTTTCATACGTCTCTTGATAAATATCCATATTCCCTAGTTTAGTCAATATTTGATTTGCAAGCTCAGTTACTCTTGTGACTAATTTACTACTATCATCAACAATTCCAGCTTTCTTTCTTTTCCAACGTTCTGCACTGGAGATTTTGGAACCTGTACCTGTAAAAAGAAGTTACTTTTCACTAAATGTATAACAAGTCATAATAAACTCGCTATTATAAGATTTTAAAGATTTTGTAATAAATAATCAAATACACCATGCATTGTTGCATGGTGCATTTGATTGTGCATACAGTTTGACAGTCTTTTTTTCCTCACGCTCCATTTATACAATATTATTACTAAAGACCGGATTCTATGCAACATAAATAGCCCAAAATATGCAAGAAAATCCATGGTCCAAAATATGCAACATGAAATAATAAAAAATAAGGGTATTTTGAAATGTTTTTTTATTTTAAAAAGATATTGTTGGCCAGTGAGTTGCGATTCAGCCTGGTGCGACCCGCATGTTTTATGCGATACAGGGATTGCAATCCGGCGTCATTTTCAATCCGGACGAATCCGACCGGATTCCCATCAATCCCGACGGATCCTGCCGGATCGATCAAATAAGGATTTTCGCTTTCTCATACTTCTGAACTGTTTCCCAATTATTCTCTTACACAAAAGAGGTGCAAAAGCTGTTATTAACGACTACAGACCTATTAGCCTCATCTCCAACATTTACAAAGTTTTGCAATAAATGTGAGTCAACCTACAGAGCAAGCTGGTTTATGAAAGAACTACTCTACTTCTACTCTACTACTTTGCTCAAAGTAACAGATGATATATGCCTTGGGATAGATAATGGTCTCCATACGGTATTAACACTGTTGGACTTCAGCAATGCTTTTAATCCTGTAAATTTTGACGTTCTTTTGGCATTGCTGCACTCTCTTAACGTATCTCCATCAGTGATTGAGTGGTTTCACAGTTATATGTATGTGGGCAGGCAGTGCGTTTGCCTCGAGGACAAATTTTCTTCATGGAGCAACGCGACTGCTGGTGTTCGTCAAGGTGGCGTCTTATCTCCTCTTCTTTTCGCTGTCTTAATCAACTCTTTTCAAATAATATTTCTTCTTCCTATCATCTATACGCAGATGATTTCTAAATCTATGGCCCGGCATCACTTGGTCAACTTGGAGATGCGGTGCGAGCTACTTATACCGATCTACTTACGATATCAAAGTGGAGTAAATCCTTTGGATTAGAATTGAATCCCTTCAAGACTACTAGCATAATAGTAGGTAGTTCTAGGATGATAGAGTAGACTGGCAGTCAATACCCAATATCCAACTGGCTGGTAATAATGTTCCTTTTAGCGCGTCGGTAAAAAACTTGGGGTTAACATTCGACAATAATCTCAGCTGGGGTCCACAGATGCAAGTGGTCAGCCGCATATTGTATGTCTCAGCTGCGTCACTTAGGAGACTACGTAATTTCCTACCTATCACTACAAAAATTACTTCAGCACAGTCTTTGTTGCAACCCATTCTCGATTATGCTGACTTCTGCTATCTTGATCTTACGGAGGACCAACTAAAGAAGCTTGAGCGACTTCAAAACTTTTGTATCCGCTTCGTATTTGGCTTGCGCAAATATTACCACGTTTCTCAATTTCGTTCGCAGGTCGCAAGTGGCTACCTATTCGTCATCGCCGGAATACTCATATTCTTGATCTCCTTTACAACATATTGTTCAATCGTAAGTCCCCGCGTTATCTTAAGGAATGTTTTAATTTACTTCATACTTCTAACATGTTATCCCTTAGGTCATCAGAAAATCTTACTCTCATGACTCCTGTACACGGCACATCTTTTTATAGTCGTTCGTTTAAAGTACGTGCTGTACAGCTGTGGAACTCTCTCCCAGTTACCATACGACGTGCGGAATCCATTCACGCTTTTAAAAACCTTGTTAAGTCCTATCATGTCCTTATAAAACTTTCGATTATAATCTCCTTTGTGATTACTACCTACTGAGCTAGATTTGTTTATTGTTGTGTATGTATGTATCTATTTATATAACAGTATATATATTGTATATTTTTATTTATATGTATGTATATATTATTACTTATATCACTCAAGTGATTTACACCGCCTTCTCTACAAACTTCTATTCCTCTCCATCCAAAGGTTGCCTGGAAGAGATCGCTCTTAGCGATAAGGCCGCCCATTGATACACTAGTTTTAATTGGTTTTCTACTAAATGTAATGTTTTCTGTGGTGTACAATAAAGCATTTGACAGTCTTGGTCACAGTTGTATAAGGGATAGTATGAGACAACAAGGGACAATACGCAAATAAAAATAACGCAAGAATAAAGCTCTAAACAATAGGAAGACAGTTTCCAATAGAAAGATGTGTAAGACAGGGAGATCCCATATATCCGAAGCTATTTTCAGCGGTTTTCGAGAGTATTTTCCGGAACTTCAACTGGGACAAGTTTGTTCTTAACGTAGATGGAAAACTTTAAATCATTTAGAATTTGCTGATGAATTTATACTTTTTGAAAAATCACCAAAGAACCTCTAAACAATGTTGCGTTGTTTAAACGCGGAGAGCAAAAAGGCAGTATTCTAAGAGCCAGTGATCCGCAGACTTACGTTATAGTAGCAAACTTCATATTAATGCTAGTTATACTAATTCATCTGCCGTAGATCAAATGGTGGTTCACTATTCCCATAGAGGGTTTCCCTTTAGGCGTGCCGAGAAGTCGAAAAGCATGAAAATCCACTTTCAAAAACGTGATCGCAGCATGTCTGCCGTTTTGATATCTTAAAATATTTGTTTTTTTATATAGAAAAACTTAATGGCAGACACTTGTTGCGGTTCCTACGATATTTTATAATATATCATAGTTTCCAAAATTACATAAAATTTACGTTATTTTAGCAAAGCTAAAAATTATATATGTTATTTATATTATTATTATACATGTATATCTAAAAAACCAGACAGATAGGTTGGTTCTAAAATACAGGCAGACAACATAATAGTTTCGCAGTCATGCTAATGGAGATATACGAAATTGACTTTATCTCTCTTCATTTCGCAGGGAACTAGTGTTTCAGCAAAGCTACAATTTATGTATGTTTTTTACATCATTATTATACATGTATATCTAAAAAACCAGACAGATAGTTCGGTTCTAAAATGCAGGCAGACTACTTAACAGTTTCGTAGTCATGCTAATGGAGATACACAATATCGACTTTCTCACTCTTACTGGCAATGACAGCGAATCAGTATGAATACATGTGAACAGTGTTTTGTTAATTTTATAATTTAGAACTCTTATTTTCAATCATAAATATATAAGTTTTTATTAGGAAATCAATTTTTTTCACTTACAAGAATTTTGCTATTTATTTTGTTTTAGCACAACGAACAACTCTTAATTCAAATTCCTATTAAATTGCAGACAAAAACAATTATATTATTCAAATAGGTTCCGAAATGGATAGCATATTTTCGTTTCTTAGGTTTTCAGGCACATCACTCATTAAATAAAACTAGTTTTTCACGGGCTAATGTACGAGACTTTATTTATTTATTAACGTTTCTTAGCCTTTACAGGCTTCATTTCATTTCATTCTGACGAAGCAGCCTGTAAAAGCTGCGAAACGTCAGTAAATAAATAAAGTTTCGTGCATTAACCCGTGAAAAACTAGTTTTATTTAGCATATATTCATCAAACCTTGTCTATCGTTTTAACAACGGTGCTTGAATACTGAATCCCTGCGAGATGAAGAGAGAGAAAGTCAATATCGCATATCTCCATTAGCATGACTGCGAAACTATTATGTAGTCTGCCTGCATTTTAGAACCGACCTATCTGTCTGGTTTTTTAGATATACATGTATAATAATGATGTAAATAACATACATAAATTGTAGCTTAGCTGAAACACTAGTTCCCTGCGAAATGAAGAGAGAGAAAGTCAATTTCGTATATCTCCATTAGCATGACTGCGAAACTATTATGTTGCCTGCCTGTATTTTAGAACCGAACTATCTGTCTGGTTTTTTAGATATACATGTATAATAATGATGTAAATAACATACAGAAATTGTAGCTTTGCTGAAACACTAGTTCCCTGCGAAATGAAGAGAGAGAAAGTCAATTTCGTATGTCTCCATTAGCATGACTGCGAAACTATTATGTTGTCTGCCTGTATTTTAGAACCGACCTATCTGTCTGGTTTTTTATATATACATGTATAATAATAATATAAATAACATATATAATTTCTAGCTTTGCTAAAATAACGTAAATTTTATGAAATTTTGGAAACTATGATATTATATAAAATATAGTAGGAACCGGAACAAGTGTCTGCCATTAAGTTTTACTATATAAAAAAATAAATATTTTAAGATATCAAAACGGCAGACATGCTGCGATCACGTTTAGAAAGTAAAGGAACCCTCTATGGGAATAGTGAAACCCCATTTGATCTACGGCAGATGAATTAGTATAACTAGCATTAATATGGAGTTTGCTACTATACCGCAAGTCTGCGGATCACTGGCTCTCAGTCTTGTCCATAAATACTAGTAAAACAAAACCGTTAACGGATTGCTCTTGGAATATGTGGACGAATACACATACCTTAGTAGGGCAAAGTAAAAACCTACCCATTACTCTTAAAAGAAAGACCTTCAATCTGTGTATTCTCACTTGCCTAACTTATGGCTGTAAAAATGGGCACTTGGTAGAGCTTTAAAAGACAAAATTCCAAAGAGCAATGGAATGCAGTAATTTAGGACTGCGCAAAGAAGACAGATTAATGAGTGATTATTTTAGAAATAGTACAAACATAGTTGATGTACTTGAGAGAACAGACCAAGCAAAATAGAGATGGACAGGTCACTTACTATGCGGAAATGAGAAATGGAGTAGAACTGTTACTAATTGATACCTACGCAATGGATGCATTATAAAGGCGGCCTTGTGTCGAGGATTGTAAGCACTGTTTATAAAGCGAGTTTAAAGAAGAAGTTAAGGTTATAAGGGCTAAGGAATTTAATCAATCCTGGTGTGAAGGAGAAATATTTCGGGCGCAGAAAGAAGACAAGGAACTACAGCTGTTAATGAAGGGAAAGAAGTCCT